TTAACTCCTATTAGTTCATGTAACTCCCTCTAACCTCAGTGTTCAATCAGAAGACAAAGATAGAAGGCTAATATTTCATCTATCATTGTATTGTCATACTGACTTTAAAAATCTCATCAATTACTTGATCATAGCTCATCATAAATAAGAAATCACAATTTGTTCATGACCAAATCATGGATGTCACATAACTCATCAATCGGTTCACAATTAATTAATAATAATAATAATTTAAGAAAGATGACAATTCATTAATGGAATATAAGTTTATAATAGGTTCAAAGGTAAAAATGTCACAAACGAAGTACTTAACAAACGTTATATATATATATATATATATATATATATATATATATATCAACTGTAGAGCAGTTCGAACAGTTTCTCATTTCCCAACTGTTCGCCCATTACCCAACACCAATTTGTTCATTTTCTTTCAAATAACTACTTGGCTCTGTTTCCTACTTTTCCTTGTCTTACTCTTTCTGTCTATGACTCATCAACATAATAATTTCACTGAAATCACAAACCAATCCAAATTTTGCAATCATTGAAACCTGCAGGCACTGGACGACCGTTTATTCCACTATGGGACTCTAACATCAGGAACCGAATTCAGATCTTTCGACTTTACGCGGGAACTTTAACCTTCCTCATACCCGACGCGGTTGAGCATCACTAGCGTGATCTCACTAGAACTCAGGAAATTTTCTATAGAAGCTAGTCATCTATGTGCACAGTAATAACAATAATAATAATAATAATAATAATAATAATAATAATAATAATAACCATTAACCCTTTACCATTGCTCTCATATGGTTAATCTCTTCTCTTTTTCTCTCTCTTACTCTACTGAGGTGTGAAGTCTGGCAGTTTGAACAGGTAGACTTAATCATGCTGGGTTCTGTGTTGTTGTTTGTTCACTTAACATATAAATATACATACAGTTACTAGGTAAATGGATTACTAGTTTTCTTTTTAATTTTTCCAAATTCCCACCATAAATAACTTCTCCTTTTTAAGGAAGGTAATCTGATCAACGTCTGTTTCGAATGGAGACTAGTCACTTCATTTTCACAATTGACATGTGTTTTTAATTTTATGGTATATATATATATATATATATATATAATATTGACAATTGAATAAATCATCTTGTTTTATCTTGATTTCTAAATCAGTAGTATATCATGAATATATGTTTAATTGTTTATTAGTACATGTGTATGTGTGAAAAAAAGCCCAGTACGCCAACTGTGATAAAACAGATGAATTTCTACTTCACAGATAAACAAAGAACGAGAGAGAAAGGAAGAATGATGATCATACAATAATCATCATTACTGATATAGGAAGTAAAGAAACCTACCACAATGCTGTCAAATTATTTACTGAATTATGTGTATATTGTGGAGAAAAATATCATATTTCATTGAAATTGTATTTATGCTGTCTTAACGGTGTTGATGTAAATTTACAGTTCGTATAGGGGCACGAATGCAAGCGTTTATATATATACTTATGTACATGCTTATTATTCACATATCTTCTGTACTGGTACCACTTGACTTCTTTTATAATTCTTCTCTTCGTCAACTTTCATATTCGAAATAGACAAACAAAAATTATAATTAAATAAATGAAATTACATTTTGACAGAGCACAGTAACTAATTTATAATAAGTGAATATATTATAGTTTGTTGTTTATATTAAGTACAATTATATACAGTAAATATCTGTAACATTGAGTGGTGTTTCTCTGTATAACTCTATATGTTGTATTCATTACAGGTTGATCACACTTGGGGTATCATTAAAGGTCAAGGAGTTATATGTGACTGTTTTTTCTAGTAAACGACCCTTCAATAGCAATGATACATGACCCTACCGGGGGTCGAATTTAGAATCTCCAAGTTTCACTGCAAAGTATTTAATCATTGGAAACACTAGGTCCGTGTTCAGTGGTACAAATACAACACTAATTAAGATATGGCAAGATGATCATACCATGTTGAAGGTCACAACTGCTTCACTCCCTAATTATTCAGACTTCAGTAGTCACTACTTCTTGCTAGAACTGTGGGAGCATTTTGAGGCAAACTACTTGTGAGCTGAGGTTTTTTTATTAATCGATTGATTAAAAATAGTAATAGTATTTGTGAATATTAAACTGATAAAGAGTTGTCGAGTCTAATGATTGAGCTCATAAGCAAAAAAGGACATCTTAGTGATATGAAAATCTTGAGTCGATTGAGATCTCAATGTGGATAAAATAATCCATAAAACGAGGTTTTACATTACAAGTTTATTTAAGCTAGACAATCAGTGAACTATTGAAAATCACTGGAAAGTTGTTTTATCCCAATATACGGTTCATAAGTGGTGCACATTTACAATCTCATCCGATGATCAGAATCGAAGAGGTAGTAGGTATTTTGACGAGCATATTATCTTTAGACAATCAAGTCGCGATCCAGTGATCCAGATTTATAATTTTAAGCATTAATAATTATCTCATTCATTTAGTTAACTCCTACTGATTATGGGTTCTGAATAGAACTTTGGTCAATCTTCTTGAAGTCATTAACTAATGATTTAGTGAATGTCAGTCCATTAAATAAATTTTATATCTAAACCTAACAAACTCCATAAATTTTTCTTCCTGATAAAAAGTAATTTATTTGGAAAGAGTTGATAAATTTCTATTCATAATTTTAAGGCATATTTTTGTATGTAGACTGTTTGAAACAGTGGTCAAACCCACCCATATAATTATTGGACTTCAATTCTTTTTTAGCTAGTGGTCAACTTTCAATTTTATTTGCAGTTAGTTCATAATACGAACTTGAACTGTGAATATGTTACAGAAATTCTTTTTTCAATCTAAATCTATTTTGAGTTTGTATAATTGTTAAATCTTACAAAGGTTAGAAACTTTGCAAAAATTGTGACCAAAACATCGCAAGGTATCTGGTTGAGGACATCTAGTTCTCATGGGGAGTAATTAAACATTACAATCACCGGTATGGTGTTTAGTAGTAAAGATTTAGAATTTGAATAAATCCAAAAAATGGCGTTATGACCAACCAATAACATTGGTGATAACTTTTTCAGTATTATTGTACTGTATTATTAAAAACCAATGGCACTGACTGGTTACCGCAGCATATCGCGAATTATTTAAAGCTAGAAATGCACATCTTTGGATACTAACCCAGTGGTTACAATTGAAATGCTCTCATGACCAGGCCTGGAGATTTACTACTTGGTCCCTAACAGAGTCATGAATGTACAATACTAAGGATTGTCATATCAGGACGAAACATCTATTTATTTCATCCTTGTAACACCTAATTGGTTTCATGAACATTTTGAATCCTACAAAAGTTAATGTTGTCAGATAATTGAAGTCAGTTGATTAGTTGTTAAAAATCAGAAAGAACCGAGTAGCTATTTCTTGTACTTTAACAAATAACATTAATGAGTACATATAAACTTACTCAGGATCCGACTTAGGACTATCCCAATTTATAGCTAACTCGATAGCATCAGATCACTAAATTGAAACGCAATATATAATGCTTTCAATTTTTATTCGAAAGATATATTACTGTTTCCTGCTATATGCGAAATCTCACATTTACGTGATATATTTTTATACTGTCTCAATTTAGATTTTAGTAAATAAAACTCATCAATTAGAAACACATTTCCACTCTATTTAAAATGTTTTTCTAATTTAGACAACAGTATCATTTACATAGGCAGATTATTAATGAAACAGCTATAAATATCACGAACATCGATTAACGCTTAAAACTAACTTCGTCCTCTTTATGGTAATTTTCTAAATTCACAAAAGTTATTTTCATGGTGGATTGCAAATATTTATAACCATCGTTCAGAATACCTTCTAATTTGTTCAATTTAGTCAGTATGATTTGTTAAATTATGCTTTAGTAATCATTTAGATTTTTATAAGTCCGTTGTTTGGTTGAGAACATATTTTTTGTCATCACATCAACTAAACATATAGAACTTTTTTGGAAATTCCTTTGCTTTTACTGAATACTGCAGATTAGGCGGTAACTCGGCGGTTAAAACACCCGACTTCCAGTCAACAGGTTACACGTTCGAACCTCGTTCTATTTATTTTGTTTGCTGTGGCCGCCTATTACAAGCCTTCAAGCAGAATGTGGTTAGAAGCCAGGTAGATAATTAGTGTCTAGTAAATGGTTACTAGTTTAAAAAAACATGAAAATTACCTTAAACTCTTCTCCATTGAAGTAACATTTTAAAAAAATATGTCCATATTCTTCTAGCTGATAGCAACAATTAATTACATCGAAGAAAATGAAGTTTCTAGATTACAAAAGAACATTTCTGTAACTAAGGGAGTGAGTATAATTTGAACTATGGAGAGAATTCATCCATGTCTAATAAATTATTATGCAGATAATACTAATTTATCTAATATGCCGATATTTCGGATCAAGTGTAATGATTATTGTGACTTAAACGTAATTTCACTGAAAATATCTTCACAGAATAAATTAGCTAAGTATACATTGGTGTACCACCACTTTACTTGGCGTACAATGTTATTGAATTGCTATTCACTTTGTGATCACAATTATTATCGTTTTTTGTTACAGGTCTTAATTATGCTGTCTGGTGAAGAGCTACAGCCACAGTAGTGTCACGTGACTCCTGATTAGAATGTACAGCCCTGGATTTATCCAGTCTACTACAATTTCATTGGTGTAATAAAATAAGATGCCATCGAAAAAGTCTATTCTGTCTAGCTATCAATTGGCCAATTGTATTACTAAAAATATATAGAATTTTGATTGGTCGATTCAGAGTAGTCTAATCGAACGCTAATTTTTGATTCGCTAACTAAAGTTGACATGCTATTCGAAGAAGCAAATCGTCACTACACGTGTTTTCGATTCGGCTGTTTTGCGCATTTTGCTATAAGACGCTCCTGCCCTAATGGGTGATGATAAATTGGATCCATCTAAAGCTTGTAATATTTCACAAGATTGCACTGGACAGCTGGGACCGTTTTGCAGCAGTTTTGAAGATCATACTACCGAATCGGATTTATTACATACATTCGAGTTACCAATATCACCAAGTCAAGATTTATTTGGTGAACCTACAACATCAAGCTCCAATAGATATTCTCCTCCCATTGGTCGTACAACGGTAACTACTCCATCTTGCTTCTGGAAAAACTGTGAATCTTCTGTTCATCAAGTTTGTGTTAACACAGATAGTGGATTTTCTAGTTGGACTGGAGGAGGTGATTCTAAAACTAAATCTCCATCAAATCTGATTTCATCTTACTGTGCCTTACCCCACTCAATCTTTTCATCACTGATATCATCCGATCGTGAAAGTGTTTTTATGCTGAATCAATCTGATCAAGCTAATTCGCCTTGGGGCTGACACATTTAAACGAATCAGACGTAAGCTCTAGAAACTCTGTTACTAGCTCAAGTTCATGTCTAAATAATTTACCTTGTGCTAGTGAACTTAATGAAGAACTTTCAGATAGAATGTTCGTTACAAGTATAAGTGATATGATAAGAACTTCGCCAACTTGGTCTACTCCATGGACGTGTTCAAATAACTATCCTCATACATGCGAACCATGTAGACCAGTATCACAAAATGTTGTAGATATGATAGACTCGTATCCAGAAACTATTCCTCTCTCTGATTTATCATCATTTTTCTCTCTTGGATTGAATTCCGAAGGTCAAAATGCATGCAATGATTCAAACGGTTTACAGTCCCCCAATGACATTAGTGATAAAATTCATAAAACAGCAAATCCCGGTCATTTCTACTCATCAAAGCCATCATATTCTGTTTGTACACATGAGAAAAATCCTCATTTATTTCGCCCAATTCCTATTCGCGAAGAAAGCAAAATTCATGGGGATTTGTTCAATTCTTCAACTTTATCTTTGATAAATACATATTCTAATCGACGTACTGCCGTGCAACCAAATAGAAGCACTGATATAAACTCCAGTGCTTCTATTTCACGGCAATCACAACATGCGAACTGTCGGCCCAGAACTATATCCTATACTGCCTACTTAGACTCATCAATTAAGAAACCACAAATTAGCAGGCCAGGTTCTGCACCATTACAACGTGAGAATTTATTTATTCCCGAAGAAGATTCCGATTCAAGTGAAAATAATGAGCGTTCAGAAGAAATGAAGGACAGTTACTTCGTGCATAAACGCCGTAATAAGAAATCAACATCCAAAATGTCTACACGTAGATTTTCGCAAAACTACCAGTCTAACTCGTGTGGTCATTGCGGGACGGATATAAACGAGAATAATTTTGAGGATGCAAGCATCCTTGAGAGCGCCAATTCTACGAACGTGGGACATCACGGTAGATATACGAATTGTATTTATAACAGGGCAACAAACGTAGCTGGCCAACATATATATCCAAGAATAAATTTAGATAGTAACAATTTACATATATCTCCTGACCAGTGCCTTACAAATTTATCATTATGTCCAGATTATAGATCAGTTCAACATGATGTAAGCCGTTCAAACACATATGGGAAAGGTTATTCACCGAACTATACTGGTAAATTATATTCTTTTTAACTGTTATGCCCTTTAAACAATTTATCCATTTTCATTATTCAACGTAAGAACGTATGTTTTTTTATATCATCGTCCTAATTGAAGCTAGTGTTTGTGATGCTCGCCTTATCTACAAAGTGTTTTTATGCCCCACTGACAAGTATCCTCACATGAATATAATATTTGGTATTCATTAATTCAGCTTATGACTTGATATCCATAGAAAAACATATTGTGACAGAATCCAGTTCACATCGAATCAATTCCAACGTTTTTGACACTGTTTTACAGTTGAACCGATTATCTGCAAAACAGAGGACGATTTTGCTAAACATCAGTTCGTTTCTTTCTACTTTAAAGGTATGGAATATGACCATTAAGGGGAGGATATTCGTAGGTTATTAGCATTCGATTGGAGTGTCGTCGAACCATTACCCTTGCATACTGGGACCAATAAGTGAGTAATGTATATGTCAGGGGCACATTACTAGGTAGAGATGGTGAATCGATCGGTAAGGTATTAAATTTATCAACTGGGGTACTTGAGACGTGCATTACGTATTCCCAACCACCACATACTTTGATGGACAATGTTTGATGCAGGACTAGATTAGAAGGAAACTAGGGGATGCCAAATCAAATCGTGGCATTAGTTCATGAATTCATTGATGTTGGACTAAGGCATTTAGGTAGATGCAGATTGTTTGAGTTTGCCCCACTACCGTAACCAATGGTTTGAGTCTGGGTAACGTGGGTCAGAATCGTTTGCAATGTCACAAGTGCATTCACTTTTTGTCTTTTCTCAGCTCATGAACCCCGAAATCTTACACCTTTTCCCTGTGTTCATTATCAATAACTTTCCTCCTTGTGTCAATCGTCTTCATCAATTGTCTACTATTAATAGTGTTTGTACTTTAAAAAACTGTGAATATTTGTTCTGGTCTCAAAAATAACTAAAAGAAACCTAGTTTCATGTAACATAACATTTTCATAATCGCGATCTTTATTTTTGTAGTATGGTTTAAGTGTCATTTAACTGTGTTTAGGGGAAAAATTATCAACAAAACTGTTTTGTTAATGCATTTCCTAAGTTTTCATAATATGGTAATATGCTTTGATTTTATGGAAACCGATCATCTGCATTATGTATATAAAAGGTTAAAATCAAAATATTTCATTCCTCATTAGTAGTATGCACGACTGTTGTAAAATAAAATTCACGACTAGGAAAAAAATTCGTGTGAAACTGAAACACTAATCTAATTATATATTATAAAAAGCTTCGTAATTATCGGCAAATATCTATGAAGTTATACTATCTGAAAGAACAATGATGTTGAAAGACATGTTTATTTATCTGTTTTTTCTAAAGAAATTTGTATTATTGAATAATTGTACAGTTAAGTGGTGTCGGTAGTAGTATGGAAAACTACTAGAATATTTTCTATAACAACATTTCGAATTGTCGTTTCTTATACCTGTAAGAAACTTATGTGAGAACAAACAGTTGTTTGTTCTTTTGTAAACGGATTTGTAAAGTACTAGCCTTATTCTGGTCTGGTTTACGTGTGTAAAAAACATTGAATTAATTGTTTGAAGTAAACTTTTATTTTCGGGTAGAAAGTTGTTAATTTCTCCCTCTTTATATAACCATAAGTCTAATGTAGCAGAGATTACAAAAACAACAGCGAAGACAATAAATCATCTTATTACTTTTGTATATCAAGACTGAAAATACATGAAATATCAAACCAACAACGTAATTGTTTATGTATTTATCAGGCAAAGAAGTATGCAAATAGTTTTCGTCACAAATCGACCTCAGGTAAAGATCCATTGAACAACTGTCTCGTATTAGTTTGAGATTTCTCAAGACCTAAAGGTCCTGGGTTCGATCCCCCATAGTTAAGTCGTGAGTGTCATTAAGTTTTCTGATAGCCACACTGCATTTGCTTATTAGGCTGGATTCCAGTATTGAAAATTACTTAGCCTTAATCTGTTTGCTATCATCCAATGTCATTTATAAATTGCCATCTCACGTTCAAATTAGTTTGCACAAAATATTTAGAAATGATTATTCGTTTTATAAAAAAAACGATCTGAGGTGTAGAAATAAATATAAAGTAATAAATCCTGAGATTTTGATTATCACTGCAGTTTTTGTTTTATTCTTGAAGCTGATTTGTTAGGATACTACTGTCTTTCAAATCTTTCAAAACTGAATCAGTTTTATTCATACTTGATATTTAAGTTCTATATAAATTATTTTAATCAGATAATTTACGCAAACCCCAACTGTTTACTTTAATTCACTAATTATTTACACACTCATACAGTAGATGACAACAAATATCTATTGTGTGTCAATAAATACCATTGTATTCATGTTAAGTTTCATGATGCATTGAAATTGTAATCAATTTATATATAGTTGAAGGTTAGAAATACTACTCTACTGGCAAAATCGAGGTAAATTTAATAGGATAAATTCTGTGAAAATTGATCACTTGTTATCATTGGATCTTAACATCGGTGTAAGAATTAGTATGATACTTGAGTGTTGGCGACAAAATAAATGAAGTTTTAGTTTTTTTTGTGGCCGATCGACAATAGATTCTGCGAATTATGATTATTTCTTGTTGCCCATCGTATTTGACTTTGTCTTCTTTTTTGTGTGAACTGTAGGGTAAAACAATATTTATTCATTATAAATGTGAGTATGACACACATTCAAAATTACATAGTGTATTGTGTGTGTGTGTTATGTTTTGTACACATACTTTATGTTACTCGGTTAACTCATTGATTTAATCTTTATGATGAATTATAATATTTTCAAAAGATGGCTGATGGTAGCGTGGTTGAAACACTGGGGGGGGATGCCTATTGGAAATACTTCAATAAAGTTTCTTACATCCGATTCGTTTTAACGAATTAATTACATAAGTGAATCGTATAATGGACTCATGGGCTTTTTCTGAAAAGCTGATAATCTTTCGTACTGCTTCATGCTAAAAAATTTAAGCAGGAAAATCACGATGGTTTGATATATTTTCTTTGCTGTCTCTATCGTAGGGAGACGCGGTAAGCGTTTGCTCTAGAATTCGCAAGTCAAATATGTCTTTTGTACTAGAAAAAATATTGTCGTGGCGGAACTGGTTGAATGAAAATATTCTACCGCTAAACACTTAAAAAACGTATTTATACCTATTTTATTGAATATTCACAATATAGATGTATATGAGATAGATGTTTATTGCCTTATTTGAATATTTTGTGCCTTAAATTATTAAAAAGTCAAAAGTCAAACACACTCACCAGGTATATGAGTACGAGGCACACTCTAAGTATGGTGGATGATGATGTTGCCCAGTTTCCTGGCCCGAATTAGGTGGGACGGGTTTCAAACCTGAGATTCGGTGGTGGAAAGTAGAACGCCATAACCATTGAACCATAACTCCACTGCGAAGCATTAACTGTAACCAAGTAAGTATATGGTACAATGAATGTCATTATCATCAAAGCTCTTTGTAGGTGTCATTACCAAGGTTTGACTTGATAATTCCGAATAAATTGAACATTGTGTAGATTGTTATAAATAAATAATATATTTGTAATATCCCAATGAGTAGAAAAAATAGATTGTACAATTTAAACTCGGATTAATTTTGATTCGATTATTTATCCTCTGAAGAAGTGGCTTACACTAAGTCACGAAATGTCAGATCTAATTTTTCTACTCATTGGGATATTACAAATATATTATTTATTTATATCAAAGCTCTTTATTTTCTCAAACTTGATCTTACCCATACTCTTATCAGTATCAATATATTTAGTGAAATTAATCTAGTCTTTAGATTAATTAATGTGTTCAGATTTTTGTTATTGTACGATTGTTAATAAATGTGTATTACCATTACCTATGAGTTTTATTTACCATCTGAGGATTGGTAATACTTTTTTGACCTCCCATAATTCAGTAGGTAGAGAAGAAGCAGAGTTTAATCCATTAATTATTTGACATTAGGTTGTTCAAGTCAGTTGTGTTCATGATTCTCACTGTTCTTAGATTCATAATAGTAGCTAATCTAACTTATAAACCATTGGGTTACAGCTTGACTACTGGCCCCATATCTTATCCTAATTGTTGAGTAAGGGATTTTTTATTTATATTTAATGATTTGGCCTAAGCATGTGTATTCTTACATTTAACACAAGTGGGAAGTAAAGTAGTTCCAAAAAGATTATTAAAAGTACGAAAAAGTTGTGAGATATCATTACGATTATTGTTATTACTATTATTATTATTATTATTATTATTATTATTATTATTATTATTATTATTGTTATTATTATTAATATTACTAGCTATAGTAGTAGTAGTAGTATTTCTATTATTTTCGAGTTTCTCGCAATATATTAATAAAAAAAGTAAGGAGTTTGTAAAATATACTTAAATTCCTTCATTTGATGGACCATTAGAGTGTAATGAAGACCAAAATTTAGTATCATTCAAAGTTTTGTTAATTACAATTTGTACTAAACCTGTCGAATACCTTCATGGTATTCTTGGAACTGTCAGGTTGTAGGATATGCCAAGATTAATAGATACAGTGTATGAAGCTATTGTTGTGCATTAAGTTTAAAGTGAGTTTTATGCTGTATGTATCCACTCTTCCTTATTAGTTTTTCTGTTAACGGCGCGGCGACTCAGTAGTGGTTAGTGTATTCGACTTTCAGCCAATGAATTGCAAGGTTAAACACTATCTCACTTAATCTGATTTAAACAAACTGGGTAGTATTACTGGCCCTTACAACTAAGGTGTGTTTTGACACTGTGTACGAATCCGTACCTGATGAGTTCACAAGAAAACTTTAAATCACAATTTGTTAGTCTATATCTGTATGTGACTTATCAAATTACAAGTAAATTAATTACATTTCAACATTTTTACCCTGTTCACTTATAATATCTGAATTTACTGCTTCATACTTCAA